AAGGTCAAGTTCTCCTACTGCAGAATTCCATCTATCATTGGCTTTATTATGATCATTGACATTATTATAAATAACGAGCTGATTTTGAATCATGCAGCAAGCTTGGCATGGAAACATTGCAAAACAGGAAAAGAGGGTAACAGCAGACTCTGTCCCACCTTCCCAGTCTGTGCTGGGTACAGACGGCACTGCTGGAAACACATCTCCAAAATCATAATCTATAAAAATGAGGGACAAAACTGAAGATTAGAAACAGGCAGTGGGAGGACAGGGAAGGTGGGGGCAACAGGGTGGGAGACATGGGGAGAAAACAGGAGAGGAAAAAATTAAACTTTCTCCATTTTAACCAACAGCTCCAGGAGAGCTTATTAGGACCCTCCGATGCTCCTCAGCATGGGCTGAGGACCAGTAGCCTCTGGCCAGGTAAAGACCTCAGGGGACAGTCCTTTCCAAGCCTAGAACCTGGATCTGGCAGAGAAGAACGTGGGTTCCCCTGCACCTGATCTTTTTCCTACACCCCCCTGCCTGCCTTCCTCTGTGGCCAGCATCTGAGATGAGGTGGGCTCCATCCATGGACCATCTGGCGGCTCCCCCAAGGCCTGTCCCTTTGACTGTCCCAGGTGGTCCAGGAGCCCCACCGGAGAGGACCGAGCCACCATCTCCACTCGCACAATGAGCAACGGAGTCTTCCTAACGTCAAGTGTGAAAGGAATTGCCCTCTCCTTGGGACATGGCCCGGGGCACAGGCAGAAATAAAGAAAGAGGAAAGTCAAGGTCCTAGTGCTGCTGCAGTTCTAGGGAGCTCCAGGGGCTAACCTGGGCTCGGATCCCCTTCCCTAGGAGTGTGGTGGAGTGCAGTGAATGAAGAGCTCTGGTTCCTGCACAGCAGGAGGGCGGGGAACAGCCAGTTTTAGAAGTGAGCATGGGGGCTTAAGGTTTGAAAGAAACCAGGCTGCTCCAGTAAGCTGCTGGACCAAGATAAAATGACCTACAGATGTGACGACATTCTTTTTCAATCCCTGATGCAATGGCACACTCGTCGCCAACACTAGCGAGTGCAGGAGGACCTCGGAGATTCGATGGACTCATGAGAAACGGTGGCAAGTTCCCCCTAAACTTCGGACCCATCTGGTTCTTTTCCCCTTCCAGGGGTTGTTTAGCCTCTTTCTGCCTAGAACCTAGGGTAGGACAACCCTCTCCAAGCAGAAAACACTCACCCCTGGGCGGCAGGAAGTTTCCAGGTCATACTAGTAATCCCTCCTTGCTCAGAAAACTGCCCCCGGCATGGGGCTACAGCCTTCTGGAAAGGGGCTAACATTCGTACGATCTCATTTTGGCTTTTTGTCCCCAGAGTCGGTTTTTTTTAACCACCACAGGGACTCTGATGAAATGAGTGTCTGGGAAATAGCTGACCCGGTCTGACTTCAAATTTCAACCACTGGACCAAAACTAGCCAAGAAAGGCGTCACCCAGCCAGGTTCAAGTGGCTCCAGAATCAGTTTCGCAGCCAAGGCGTGGCTGCTTTCCGCCCCAGGGCCACTTACCCTCGCTAGATGGGGCGATGGCACTGTCATCCCACTCCAGGTTGGTGGAGGTGACGGAGTTGAAGGAGTTGAGGGACAGGCTGTCTGAGCCATGGACCGAGCTGGGGAGGCGGTCTTCAAAGTCCAGCAGGTACTGAGGTTTGTAGTAGTCAGGCATGTAGGGGGCCAAGTCTAAGTAAGGGGCATCCTGAGGAGAGAGTGGGAAGGGCAGGTCTGGGGGGCGGGAGGCCTCGGGTGGGCCCGAGCATGTGGCCTTCTGGGGTCTCCTCTGTCATGCCCTCCCACACTAGCTTCTTTAGGAAATCACTGGGCTTAAGGTACTCAATTCAGAAACAAAGCTGCTAAGAAGAGTAACGGGGATGGTTGTGGCTTCTGATGCTGTGGACCGGAGGCCAACCGGGTGACAGAAACCTCCCGCCTTCCAACCCCTCCTTGACCTCTTTTACTATTGAGTCTCTCACTTTCTCTGATTTCTACTGCTTTTTAGCAGCCAAGTTCCTTTTCTGAGTCTGTGATGATGGGGTGGGGACCTAGGAAGGACAATGGGCAGGAAGGGCAGCCGCATGCACCCTGCCCAGCCCGAGTCCGGGAGGATGCCCGGGAACTTTCCAGCCTTCTAGGCCGGCATTGCATTCCTCGGATGCACTGTGGGGCGGGGGGCGGGCGGGGGGGCAAGGAGCATGGAGCTGATGAGCTTCCAGGGCCCCAGGAGGCACAGGGGCGAATACGCCTTGCCTTTCTCAACTGCCATGTCCTAGACACGAAGGAGAGTGCTCAGCACTAAGATACTCCAGACAATGTGGCTTTTCTCCAAGTCGGGGCAGAAAGATAGGAAGAAGTCACCTGAAACAGGAATTCTGGCCTTGAATAAGCCAAGAGAGGGTCGTCCCTCTTCCACTCAGTCCCACTGTTCAGGCCCTGGGCCCGTCCCTCACCTGAACAAACCAGGCGTTGCCGAGGCTCAGTCACACCCGACAGGCTTCCTGAGGGGCCCTGACAGATGGAACCACACGCCCCCTGGCCCCTCCTCTGCCCCACACGCAGTGGGAGCCATGTGTCTCACCAGATCCAGGTCGAATCGAATGAACTCCAGCCCAGACACCAAGGTCAGGAAGAGAGTCAGGTGGTCGTGGCTGCAGACCAGGGCATTCCTGTGAGGCACGAGGGGGGATGACGGCAGTTTGGGGCCTGGTTACCAGCTTGGCTCCACTGCACCAACAAGCCAGCTGTGTCGAAATTTGGCCTGTGACATCCCCACTCCCTGAAGGACACCCACCCTTTTCCAGCATTCCCCTACTGGGTTTGGAGGCACGCGGCACTTTACTGCCAGCGTGTTCAGATACAGGGCCTGCGGCCTGTGGCGCATCCAGGCCTCAGCAGCTGCTGTGAATACTCTGCTCCTGCAGCTCCTGCAGCAGCCCCAGTGGGGGCTGGGGCCTGGGCAGAGAATCAGGCAGAGGCAGGGCACAGGCTGCCCGAGAGCAGCCCCGACAGAAGGCCGGCACTCCTGGCCAAGCCGTGGCGTCTGCCTGGGGCAAGGGTCTTCGGAAGGAGGCTCAAGGGGGGCTCTGGGGCTGAGACGGACCACTGCCGACACTCACTTGACATAGTACTTATGCAGCAGACCTAGGTTTTCCTGGAAAAGCCGCAGGTAGCTCTCCAGGGAGTTCTCGTTGAGGGCCAGGTACAGCCAGGCCCGGCCTGCAAACAAAGGGTGGGAGTGACTGGAGGGAAGGTCTGTCAGGGTGCTGGCTGCTTCTGGCCAAGGAAGGGTAGGAAGGAAAGAGCGGCTGCGGGGGCCAGGCACTCCACAGCCTTCTCTCCTGATGGAGTGCCACCACCCCTGAGATCTTCATTTTCCCAGTCAGACCCTAGCCTGTAGCCCACCAGGAAACTGATAGAAAGGGCAGACTGCAAACTTCTGGTGGGTTGAGAAATGCGAGGATCCTGCATGGATCCTGCAGGCTGCCGCCGATCCCGGCTCAGGGAGAGAGGAAGACTCATTGCGCGCGTGGGCTGGGATTCGGGACGAGCCAGGTGCTCTGCAGCGTCTCTCTCCTTCCCCCATCCATCCGTCATCAACTAACTGCTGCCAGCAGGGAGACGGGGAGCCTCCTGGAGGGCGCTGGCATCTTGACACCCCACTGCCATGGACCCCATGATGTAATCAAGCCCCCCAGGGCTGACTGTGAGGCCACAAGAGAGTCCCGAGCTCCCAAGGGGAGGGTGACGCTGGGGCCCTTCCCAGCATCCACCTGGTACTACTCACTGCGCCCCAGGTTGGTGGCCACGTGCTGCAGCATCTCGATCTGTCTGACGGCCTCTCTCCGGGTGAAATGCACCACCAGCACCCAGTAGCCAGATGAGAGGTCTTGCAGTCTGAGAAAACAGGATAGGAGCTGCTGTGACCTAACAGGGCCACCCCCAAGAAGCTGCAGTCAGCTGGCCCACCAGCCTTCATGTCAGCAGTGAGCTCAAGGCGGAAAACAACGGAATCCCAGTGGGACCATGGGCAGCCACCATGCCTTCACACCACCAAGCTGCTAATTCTTCGCCCTATCATTCAAGCCTGCTCAGAGACCATTTACTGGGGTAACTGTGAACAGCCTGTGGTCCACATGAGTGAGGTCCACAGCAGCTTCTGCCAAGGGAAAGAAGACATGGAAGGCAGACAAGGCTAGGGACTGCTCTCTGGGGGCTACTCATGCCTCTTTGTGCCCTGCCACTCACGGTCTTCTCCAGAAACTCCCCACCTTACCCATACAGCAGGGCATGGTCCAAGTGCTCACACAGACGCTGCAGGACCTTGTCATGGTTCCGGATGGCAGGGGTCTCATCTTCACATGCAGCAAAGTAGCTCTGCAACTGAAAGGGAAAAAAAATGCCCTCAAAATCAGAAGTGAATAAAGAGAAGAGCTATGGAAATTCTAGAATCAACAAGGTAGCTGAGAAAACCAGTCAGATGATGCATCCATGTTGACCAACAGAAGTCTACCTCCAACTGCCTGCACCAGCTGTCTGCCCTGTTTTGAAGGTTCCAGATGACAGAGGCTTATCCCTAGAGTCCAGTCCCCAACAGGCACTCAGTGAGTGCTTAGCATGGTGATCACTTGATGATGGCCAGGAGCTCACGGTCCATGTTAGGTCTCAGGTGGTACCAAGTTTCAAGCGAAGGCCACTGAGCTACACAGTCGAGGGGCACCACAGATAGTATTTATCTGTAGGAATCACCCCCAGTGCCCCGTGTAAATGGCCCACCCCCGGAGCTGTGCACCCAGTGGCCCTGCTTGGAATGGCCCCTCTGCACAAAGGGCTGATGGGCTGGGGAACATGCTCCTCTGGCCTCCTTCCCAGAGGCTGATGTGGGTCCCTGGGTTTGTCTGAGGAAACTGACAGGGCTGGATGTGGATCTGGGTACATGCCAGCCTCATGGCAAGTCCTACACTAAGGACACTGTCCCCAAGCTGGACTGACAAAAGGAGATGTGGACAGTAGGCAACAAGAACTGCAGCACCATCACACCGCAGCAGGCTGATGAAAGCAAGGCGGCTCTGTCAGCTCAGCTGAGGACTTAAGTCCAGATACCCAGGCTGAATTCCCTGCAGCTGGGGCAGAGCCCCTTTCCAGGTAAGCCGTAGGAGAAGCCCTTCCAATTTCATTTCAGCCCAACTCTGTTCTCGGTTGCCTTTCTAAAGGCCACATGGGGGAAGAACACACACAGAAAGAGCACTCCTTCCTGTACACGCATCTCAGGTTTCAGCTCTTGGTGCTGGACAAACATGCTCTCAAGTGTTTTCTGGACACAGGGGTCAAGACAACAGAGGCAGGCAAGATACACCAGCCACACTGATGAGCGTGCGCTCTTGGTGAGGCCAACCATTCAGCCCCATGACGAAAACAGGCTCTTCTGTCTGGCCCTGAGTGAGCCAGGCGGAGGGCGCAGACGCAGACCTCAGTCCCGCGGGGTCTGCCCTCCCTCCAAAGGCCGGCAAAACAACGCCCCAGAGGGAAAGGTTTCCAGACCTGAGGGGCAATGAGCAGGTAAGAGCCACCCAACCCCGTCTCAGCAGTGGCTGAAGGTGTTCTTGCACATTTTACTGCTGAGAACCACAACACTGGCATCTAGCTTTTTGTTTTTTAATTTCAAAATCCAAAATCAGAGAGTCTTAGAGAGATGTTAGAGCTGGAAGGGTCTTTAGAGACCCAGTGCGATTCCCTCATTAAGAAAGTAAAACAGAGGCTTATTCACTTTCTGGATTATAAAAGTGACCATACCCACCGTAACAGTTGGAAAGTATGGAAAAGTTTTAAAAATGTATTTAAAATTTTTTTTAATGTATTAGGCAGCTAAGGCTAATAGGGGTTAAGTCCCTCACTATGATTTTTAGCTAAGGGAGGGAGCCACACCTGGAACTCAGACTTCTTTCTCAGCTCAAGGTAACTTCAAAAAAGTGATGCTGAAAACAACATTTGCTCATCATAAAACGGCAAGCAACATGGCAGTGTGTGTCAAGTATAAAGACCTCCATCCCCCCGGCCCCCACTGTCGGCAGCTTGCATGTGTGTACCCTCCCACCTCTTCTGCTGCACATGGATTTAAACAAAAAAAAAAGTGAAACAAGATCATGCTCTACTCATTGTTCTGAAACTTGCTTTTTCTTAACTCAATAATATATCAAGCATATTATTTCCATTTCATAACATAATATAGCAGATCCACTATATTCTTTTGCAGAGCCACACCGTACCCTAAAATATAATGTACCATGCTTTGCCCATTGTTAGATAATGGCTATTGTCTCCAATTCTTGGATATTACACATAATATTGCAATGAACGTCAGAACACCCATGTATCCTGGTGCGGGTATTTCTGTGTGGTGAGTCCTTACAGTGGAACTGCAGGCCCGAAGAACATGCATATTTACAATTGCATTGTAAAATGCATTGCATTGTAAAAATGGCTGGATCCTGCCATTTGCCCTTCTGAAAGGTTGGATTAGCTTACATTTCCACCGCGTTGGCGCCCCACCCCCACCATTATATACAACACTGTATATAGTCTAATTCTTGCCAGTCCACTTGGTGAAAGATGGTACCTAATTGTTTTAAATTGTATTTCTCTGATCATTAATGAAGTCGAACATCCTTATTACCCATTTGTATTTCATTTCCTGTGAATTGCCTGTTTAAACCTCTGCGCTATCTTCTCCTTACTCTCATTCATCTGTTGCAGCTCTTCATTCATTAAGGATTTAATTCCTTTTGTTGCTGTTTTTTGTCTTTGTTTTTTTTCCCCAATGTCATTGACCTTTAAGCTTTGCTTATGGTGTTGTTTTCCTTTTGAGAAATTTTTATTTTTGATGCAGTCAAATATGTCAATCATTTCCTTTATACTTTTTTATGCCTCTGTAGATTTAGGACTTTTTGGTTTCTTTTATGTTTAGACCTTCACTTTACAAATGACATGAGGTAAGGATCCTGCTTTATTATTTTCTGTACACATAACCCATTTCCCACATTTATTAATGGTCCCCTACTGATCTGTGATTTAATATGTCACCTTTCTAGACTGTTTTGATTAACTGGCCATTGTCTATTGCTGTACTAGTCTCTTACTTTTAATTATTTTCATTTATTCGTCACTTTGACATGGGCAGAAAAAGTCTGCCCCATCCCCCAAATATTCTTTTTTCAAAACTGTTTTTTCTATTCTGGCATATTCTTTTAGAATCAAATGTCATTACAGTTTCCTTTTGGATGTGGAGGTAAAATTGTACTGAATCCACAGGTTACTTGTGGGGAGAAATGCTATCTTTGCAATAGTGAGTCTTCCTACCCAGGAACGTGCAATTTCTTTTCCATTTATGCAGGTGGACTTGTACATCTTTTGGTATCACAGCCTTCTTTAGATAGGTCCTGCATGTTTATTTCAAGGTGGGTTGCATACATACACAGGGCATGACAAGTTAGGGAGTACTCTGCAACCAGGAAACAATTTCTGCAGAAAGCACAATAAAAAAGTGTGTAATATGGTGATGGAGAGCAAGGGCTCTCTCAGGAGGCCTGGGTCCAAAGCCTGGCTCTGCTCCTAGAGAGCTGAACACCTTTGGCAAAATACCTAACCCTCTCTCATTTTTCTCTCATCTGTAAAATGGGTTGAAAGGATAGTTTAGAGCTGAGCTATCCAATACTGTAGCTACTAGCTACATGTGACTATTTAAATTAACTAAAATTAAATAAAATTAAAAATTCAGTTCTTCAGTTGCACTAGTCACACTTCAGGTGCTCAATAGCCACATGGGGCTAGCTAGTGGCTACTGTATTGGACAGTGTACATATAGAACATTTTCATCATTGCAGAGAGTTCTATTGGAACTTCCAAATAGCTGGTTTAGGGATCAAATAATTTAAAGCATACAAAAGGCCTAGCATAGATCCTGATAAGCAGCAAGTGCTTAATAACCATTAGCCGAAATGATTAAGAATAATGAACCCATATTCTTAGTCAAACCAACGACACAGCACTCGGCTAAACATAAAAGCAGGTGCAAACAAGACACAAAGATGTACTCTGCTCTCAAGAACTAAAATTCTGTCCACTAGCTCACTAGCAGTGGCTCCCAAGGCCTACTCTTTAACCACTCTTTCACAGCAGGCGATAGAGATTTTCCAGGATCTCAGAGAGACAAGGAGATCTTGAATCAACGCTACAGCCCAGTAAGGTTCTTGGGAGGAGCAGGAAGTAGGAAGGGGATGTCCTTGAATCAGTGGCAGAAGAACTTTTGGAGCTCTGTTAACAGCTTGAGCTCCCACTTTGACGGTGGGTCAGCGAAGTATGACATGAAGGCCAACAGCAGAGGGATTCTCCCTTGGCTGCAGAGGCAGCAGGCAGGCACTCAGTGCCCCAGGAAGGTCAGCAGGCTCTGAGAATGCAGGGTGGGAGGCAGGCTCATGTGGAATGAATGAGGGCCCCTGAGCTATAGAATGAGTGGACACAACAGCCTTTCCAGGCACAATTACCAACCTTTATTCCAAATTACTCCTCAGTTACATACAATACTTGCTGGTGGAGAATACCAGTTCTAATTTGAGCCATCACTTATTGAGTGCTTACTGTGTGCACTAGGAAGGCAGAGTGGTTAAGAGTATGGATTTGGGGGTCAGAAAACTTGGGTTTGAATGTGGGCTCTGCTACTCACTCATGGTGTGATGACTGTGGGCAAGTTACTTTAACCTCTCTAAACTCAGTTTCCTCATCTGTAAAGTGGGCTTCCCTATAGGCTGTTGTGAGGGTTCATATAATACTTGTATTTATCAAAGTGTGTGATATCTGGAGAACAATGTTAGCAGCTACAATGATGATGGTGATGACGTGCTTCACAGACACTAGTCATCACAGCAATCCCACAAAGTAGGTCACAAAGCTAGTAAGTGGTAGAGCCAGAATTTAAACCCAGGTCTTGTCATCTAACCTGGGGTCAAACCCCTGAAGGAATAATGCATATAAAATGTTCTCTTCTTTTCCAAGAAAGAGAAATGTAGCCCTTCTTTTTCAGGTCACAAGAACTAAAAAGCCGAAAGTGGATATGAGCTCCGTGTCTCGGCAGCTCTACTTCTCGGCAGGTGGACCAACGGGAAAAGCTAGAGCAGCTTCTTTAAGAAAGCTTGCCTAGTACTCTCGCCATCCTTTTGGTTAACACAAGCCACAGTTGCTGCAAGAGGAATTTCCCCACTTCTGCAAAGAAATTCATTCTGCTGATCAGATTGCCAAGCAGTTTTGAGTGTTTCCTTTCTGTCTATGGAGATTTGGGGAAAAGGCAGAGAATTTCAGACAAGGGGTCCACAAACTATGGCCCAGTGGGTCCACCTCCTATTTTTATAAATAAGGCCTTATTAGAACATAGCCATGCCTATTTGTTTCTGTATTATCTGCAGCTGCTTTCGTGCTATGGCAGCAGGGTTGAGAAGATGCAACAGTGGCTGCATGGCTGCAGAATCTACAATATTTATTATCTGGCCCTTTATAGAAAAAGTTTGCTGACCTCTGGTCTTGAGCCTTAAGCAGAGGAGGCAGGGAGCACACACCAGTGACAGGCTGGATTGGCAGCTGTCTCTTGCCCACAGCTCAGCAGTGGCCAGAAGGGGAGTCTCAAGCCTCGAAATTCATGTTTCAACAAATATTTACTGATCACCTACTATGTACATATCAGGTGCTATTCTTAAACGGAAATCCTTGTCCCTGTAAAACTTACATTCTGGCAGCAAATGGAGATAAGCTATGTGCAAATAGATACTATTGTGTCAGGGAGTAATGATGCTATAAAATAACAAAGCAGGATACAGGGGGTCTATTATAAATATGGGGTCAGAGAAGATCTCACTGAGGAAATGACTATTTAGGTCTCTAGGAGAAGAGTATTCTAGTTAGAGGGACAGCAGGTGCAAAGGTCCCGAGCCAGGGGCTACGCTAAGGAGACAAGTATGGCTGGAGCTCAGGGAGCAAGGATGTGAGTGTGTGACACGAGGTCAGACGGCAGCCAAGGGCAGAGCATGTGCAGTCATACAGGCCATGGGAAGGACTTTGTTTTTCATTACCAGTTTGATCAGAGGTTGAAAACAGGGAAGTAACATAATCCAATATAATGTTACAAGGCCACTACAGCTTCTGTGTGGTGTATATGCAGACTGTGGGAGGCCACATGGATGCAGAGAGACTGGCTGGGAGGCCACCACCAGTGCAGATGGATAACAGAGGCTTGGAACTGACTACAGTGCAAAAGTGAGACAGGGTCAGATTCAACATCTGCTCTGAAGGTGATGCCCCAGGGATTTATTGATGGATTAGATGTGGGCTATGAGAGAAAGGAAGGTGCCAAGGATTCAGGATAGGTGAGGGCTATCAGCCTTTAGGTGGCATTTAAAGCTGTAGAACTGGCCGAGATTATCTTGGGAGTGCAGAGAGAGGAGCGTCTCAGGACTGAGCCAGCATACTCCAGTCTCTGGTCAACAGAACCACCTGGGGGACTGGAGGAACACACA